AACCTCACACCCTGTTTGTGGGTGCACTGTTCAACGGGTATTGCGCAAGAGCATACCATCTTCCCCTGGGACCCCAAGACACAGAACATAATAAGAGTTGGAAGGGACCTTGTAGGTCATCTAGTCCAACCCCCTGCCCAAGCAGGAGACCCTGCACCATTTCTGACAGATATCAGTCCAGCCTCTTCTTGAAAGCCTCCAGCGATGAAGCTCCCACAACTTCTGTTCCATGGGTCGATTGTTCTCACTGTCAGGAAATTCCTCCTTATCTAATCAGTAAATTCATCATTTGGAGGCATATTGACTTGGAAATTGAGCTCAAATGGGTGCTGGGCTAGGAGAAGACCCCGTTTCTAAGGGGTCAACCCTGAGGCTGCACCTCCAGACTGTGCATGGTAGCACTACAGGAAGCGACAGTGGTGAAAAATATGCTCTCACATTTCAGTGCCGCCCCTCAGGAACGGGTGATTATTTTGACTTGCGCAAAATCTCATCCTTTACACGGCAGAAATTGTACTGCTTTGTACAAATAATTAGGGAGTAACCACCAGTTCTGAGGTTTGACAACTATCAAAAGGAAACATTTAAAAATAACTCTTTAAAATGAAAGATGAAGCTGTTTTGTTCTTAGAGTGACATCCTCTGTCAAGCAAAATATGCTCTATTTAAAAGTATAGATAGATTTCTTGAATTTGACTGGTTAACAATGGTGACTTCCTTGACATATTTTGACTTTTAAATCAGCTAAAACTGGATTTACAAGGCAGTAAAATTAGTGTTCTTAAAAGTTCACAAAAAAAGTTGAAGTAACGATTTGAAAACTTTGTTTATGGACAAAGCAAGTTGACAAGAGAAATATTGCATCTTTTTTTCAACATTAACTGAGTTACAGAAGAAATATGGTGAAACTAATACATGAGATATGATTTCTGTATGAACTTGTATAAAACTGAAGTGAATATTTTCCTCCAGCTGATGCTGGAAAAATATACACTAACAACCCATTTATCATTAACCCCCAAGATGAGAAAAATACCACTGACTCTATCGGATGTAAATTCATTAATTGAATTTGCCTGTGATATTGCCTTAAAGGAAATGTTGGAACATTGAATATTCACATCTTATGAAACTGCTATTTCTTGATGTGCAAGATATAAATATGACATGGTTTTTCTTCTTCCGTTTTCTATAAGTACCGTAGAGAAGATTTGTTTCTTTTGCTCCAGTTAAACTGGACTTTTGTATGTAAGTATCAAAAGGAAAACAGGAAAAAAAAACCCAGTTCCCAGTCATTATATAAGGTTGGAGAAACTCTGCTAAGCCCTCCTCAACTCCTCAAGCCCTCCTCCTCTAGCCTCATCTTTAAAAAATCCAGAAAAGAGGAATCCACTTTTGCTTTAGGTCTCAACCTTGGCAGCTTTGAGATGGATGGACTCCAACTCCCAGAATCCCCAGCCAGGAAGCTAGAAGTTGGAGTCCATTAATCTCAAAGCTGCCCAAGTTGAGAGGTGCTGCTGCCTTACAAAAACAGTTCCAAGCCTCGGAGAGCTTCTACCAGTAGCAAATCCCTCCTAATCTCTTTGCAGGTTCACCCCCATGTTTGCTTGACCTTAGGATCAAGAGAGAAGAAATCCATCTTCTCTTGCCCTTTTAAAAATTTGATTTTTATGATTTTTATTTTCCTTTATGACCCACAGTGGCGCAGTGGTAAGTGCGCAGTACTGCAGGCTACTTCTGCTGACTGCTGGCTGCCTGCAATTCGACAGTTCAAATCTCACCAGGGTCCAGGTTGACTCAGCCTTCTGTCTTTCCGAGGTGGGTCAAATGAGGACCCGGATTGTTGGGGGCAAGAGGCTGACTCTGTAAACCGCTCAGAGAGGGCTGGAAAGCCCTGTGAGGTGGTATATAAGTCAAAGTGCTATTGCTATTTTCCTTCCTTCTCTTCTTCTCTCCTTCCCTCCTTCCTTCCAGGTGGTTAGAATGCAGAATTGCATGCTAACTCTGCCCACAGTCAGCAGTTCGATCCTGACCGGCTCAAGGGTGACTCAACCTTCCATCCTTCTGAGGCGGGTCAAATGAGGACCCAGATTGTTGGGGGCAAGAGGCTGATTCTGTAACCTGCTTAGAGGGGGCTGGAAAGCACCACGAAGCGGTATATAAGTCTGCTATTGCTCTTTGCTCTCCTGCACTTGATGGTCTTTTTGCTATTGTATCTCCCGTATCTTGCAAGGGGCCCCTTTTCATCCATCTATAGGCATTACACACAACTTCTCTGAAGTAAGGCGGGCAGCTATGAGCAGGGAGACCTCCTTCTCCCCACCACAGCCAGCCATCACCACACCCTCTGTGCCTCAAACCAGCATGTGGCTTGTTCTGCCTTCTGAATGGTGGGAGGGGCACCTCAGAGACTCTTGGTTGCCTTCCCACATTCAGATTTGGAACTTGTTCTCAGGCTCCAAAGACCCAGCAAGATTCTTCTAAGCAGTTTGTTTTATTCTTCCTCGCCTCTAGACAGAGAACTTACCCAACTGAAACAGACTGTTTGTACCATTAAATATACTCTTGAGAACTCTTGGGGAAGAGCCATCTTGACTCGCTTTCTCCCACACAAGCTATCCGAGATCTGTTTCAAGGGGTGTGATTTAACCGGTGTAACAACCGGTTTGGTGAGCGTGCGCTTGGCGCACATGCCGAGGATTTGCTACTGTCCTCCGCCTGCAATCCTGCACTCTCCCTGTGTGTTGAACAGCTGGCGCGGGGCAATCCGCTGTGCCGTGCGCAGCAGCTGAGCTCGAAAACCAGGAAACGAAGGTGGGAGGGCCAGCAGCTGATCATCGGAGTGAACTGGTTCACTGACAGATGATTGTCGGAGATACCGGTTCAGCCGAACCAGGCCAAACTGGCAGAAGACCACCCCTGCTTTGCTCTCTCTTGGTCTTCTGGGAGGCCTCCTTCCACCTCATTCCTCCTGGGAACGAAGATGGCATTCCACCCCACTAGCAGGCCAGCGGGGAAGGGAGCAGAAGAGGCTCCCCCAGAGGAACTGCGCAGAGTGGCCTCACACCGAAGGTGCCCTGGGGACGAGGTCAGTGGAGGAACTGTCATCTGATGACCCAGAAGCATCTTGACATTGGAGAGGGGCAGCATCTGTCTCCAGGCCAGGAGGTGGAGAGAGAGAGAGAGAGGAGGAGTGTGCATGTGTGTGCATGTGTGTGCAAGGCCAGATTCAACTAGAGTCCAAAAATGCCACGGCCTTCATTCACAAGACAGATCCTTCAAGTGCCAACCCTCCCTACATCCAGCACAGAGCTCTTGCAGGACCCCCTAATGATCTGCTCAAGATGGAGGATCAAGTAAGCAGGAGGGGAAGGAAGGGAACTGCAGTGGGGGAACCTCCTCCCCACAACTTCCAGGTGGGAAAGCCACAGGGTGGTGGAGAGAGCGGTGGAGGCTGCGTTCAGTTGACCAGACAGCCTACCTCGGTCAACGTTTTAAAGACCTGCTCCATATCTGCCTGGCAGCTGGCCTGCGAGGACAATCATCTGGCTGTATTTTGGTCTGCTCATCACCAAAGAGACTAAAAATAGAGGGAGAACAGAGGCTCATCAGCACCTCCCCATCAATCACAGTGGCAGCCTCTGAAATTAACTCTCCCCCACTGACAGCACATTGCTTCAAAGTGTGTGTGTCTGTGTGTGTGTCTGTGTGTGTGTGTGTGTGTTGCCTTGCCTTGCTTGGTGCCCAAAATGTGGATTCTCTCCAGATTTTCTAAGACTGCTGAAAGCAGAATCGGTATTTTTATTGTTAAATTAATTGCTGGGTTTCTAGCTCAAAGGGCCTCGAGGTACCATTTATAGATATGTATAAACATTTGGAGTATGGCAGGAGAAAAATGGGAGCATTTGCCTCCAAACTAATTTTGCATTTCCTTCTAAACTTTCAAAACTCTGAATGCTTAATTTGCCTTTTTGACAAGTTTTGAAATCGGGCCCTTTTCAATTCAGCTCTTTCGTCGCTCTCCCAAGAGCACTCCTGGATCAAACCATATCATCATTCATGGCTCTATCTTGGGTTGTTTTGGCCATATTCTGCAGACCTCTCCCAAGCGTGGCAGGGGGCGGTTCCACAGGAAATGGAGGAGGGGCCAGGAAAACGGCCCCTGAGCAGAGAGGGTTCTTTTGGCGTGAAAGGATGGGCAATGCCTTCCAGGCTGGCGTAGATTCAAAGCAGTATTTTGAAAACCAAACCCAGAATATAGAAAGTATATCTGGGGACCACGAGCTGCAAATGCGTTAAAGGGGCTGGGGGCAAGGATATCACAACGATGCCCAGGCCATGTGATCAAAGCCCCTCCTCCCCCCCTGATCTTTTAAACCAGGGTTTGCTGGCTGAGGAATTCTGGAAGTTGAAGTCCACAAGTCTTAAAGTTGTCAGGGTTGGAGGCCCCTGGTTTAAACATCAGAACTGCACTCCCTTTGCAGACACCCCTGTAAATTAAGATCATTTTTCTGAGGTGGGAGGCCTGAAATTCATCAGGTGTCCTGATCCCGCACAGGCCTCGATTCTGTTCTCCAGGCTTAGCCTTCCCTTCCTTTTTGCAGATGGGCTAAAATACACACACACAACAAGCACACACGCACACACGCATGGCACTTAAATGGAATTAAGGACACCAGCTGCAAAGGCTGTGCAAGGACTGAACATTCAAGTGTGGAGTGAACTTTCTTACTGTTCAAATCAAACCACATGAAATGTGCAATTCTAATTATTATTATTATTATTTAGATCTCCAAATGGAGCCAATTGGCTTTATACCCACGTACATTCTGCCTTTGGATGGTGTAAATCACACACCCACATTCCCTCCATGGAGTGTGACCCCCCAAAGCACCCCCTGAGTATCCCCAGCTGGGGAATGGGCTCCCTGGGGTCAACCACAACCCCAGGCCTCAACCGTTCCCTACATCCTTCCGGCCAGCTCTGCTGAGTTTACTCACGTCGGAGGCAGGTCCCTTGTCGGCCCCTGGGCAGGAGAAGGTAACAAACTCATGGCACCTCTTGTGGACAACGAAGCAACAAACTGCAACGAGAAAAGTGAGGGTTCAGGTTAATAGGGGGCTCGTGAATAAGTCTTCAGTCCGGCTTAGGGATAATCCTTGGGGTGCCCCATGTTATCCCTGCCTTTTCTTGCACTCCACATCCTGATTTTTGCATTTAATGTGGATTTTGTAAGGCAGAAGTAATTTGTTTTCCTGTCTTTTAAAAAAAATAAGACGAATTTGTTTAATTTACGGATGTGACAAGATTCTCATCTTTATGTGGAGTGGTGGGGGGGGTGTAGAAACAGACCTTGCAAGATTTTTCTCTGCAAAAGTCATGAAGGATTCTGCAGAGAAAGCCATTCATCTCTGTGAATTAGTGGCCAGTAAAGTCAGGTTCTGCAGGGGCCTTTGCTAACTCTAGTGACCATGGCCCACAGCCAAGATGGATGGGAGCTGGAATCCAAAACACTTGGAGATTGAGGAAAAGGGCCCAAGGGATGCGGTCAGATCAAGTGGTTGGTTTGTCTGCTACTCTAATCCAAACAACAGTCTTAGCAGATTCATTTTAATCCAGACTCGGCCCTTTGTGCCCAGGAACAATAAGGAAACAAGCGGCAGAGACTGGTCTTTATCCAGGGGTCCCCAAACTCCGGAGTGAGTCCGTCACTTAAGACAATGGCACCAACATCTGACTCTCCTTCTGCATTTAACCAGCACTGCAAATCACTGATTTGTCCAGGGAGACCTACAATTCCTAGGTGGTTCATATTCAGAGCAGTGGTGGGATTCAAATTTTTTGACTACCGGTTCTGTGGGCGTGGCTTGGTGGGCGTGGCAGGGGAAGGAGACTGTAAAATCTCCAGTCAGAGGTGGGATTTGCCGGTTCTCCGAACTACTCAACATTTCCACTACTGGTTCTCCACAGCTGTCAGAACCTGCTGAATCCCCAAGTGCCACAATCTGTTTCTTCTGACAAACTGGTGTGATGGTATCAGCGATTCTGTTCATCGGGCATCCAGATTCGCTCCACCCTTGCAACGATGGGTCTGCGGGCTTTTTACCACCCATGTTCAGAGCAGAAGGACAACCATACATATCTATTTATTGAGTTCAGCGGTGGGATTCAGCCGGTTCCGGGCAGTTCTGGAGAACCAGGAGCGGAAATTTTGAGTAGTTCGAAGAAACGGCCAATCCCACCTCTGACTGGCCCCGCCAACCCCATCTCTTCTCCGCCTCCCATTGAGTCCCAGATGATCGGCTGGGTCTCCTTTGGTTGCCCTGCACAGGAGAACAGAGCTGGAAAGCAGGTTAGTGGGGTGGGGAAGGAAGGGGGATTTTGCAGTACCCTGTCACACGCACCTAGCCACACCCACAGAACTGGTAGTAAAAAGATTTGAATACCACCACTGATTGGGTTTATATGACCTCTCCCCTCAACCATGGAAGGGGACTCTGGGTGTCATGCAATAAAACAATATATTATAAAACCACTTTTATAAATATTATAAAATATTTGGAAAAACCACTAAACCAGGGATGTCAAACTCAAGGCCCACGAGCCAGATTCGGTCCACGGGGTGCTTAGATCTGGTCCATGGTGCCTCTGCCAGAGAAATGGAGCTTGGGAGGGCCACACACGTTTTCGCTCCGTTTTCGCTGGCAGAAGGTTGCAGGAGGCTGTCGCAGCCGGAAATGGGGCTCAGGAGTCCATTTTCTCTGGCAGAGCACTCAGGCCTCCAAAGGCACCCCCGACATGAGTGACACTGAGCTGGCCATGCCCACTCGGGCCACACCCACCCTGGCCCCCTGAGGTCAAACACAACTCTGATACGGCCCTCAGTGAAATCTAGTTTGACACCCCTGCACTAAACCAAAAGCAATTACGCATAAATAAAAACAAGATCGCAACAAGATTGTTAAACATGGTGCAGCCAATGCGCGCTGGCTCCCTTCAGCCAGTGCTGGAGGCAAACATCAGTCAGGGAGGAAAATGCATATAAATGTGAAGGCTGAATACATAAAAATTGAGCTTGGCTCTCCCAAGTTTAAAGCCGTAAAGACCCCTCTTGCCAATGCCAGAATTGGCACTGCCAGCCCTCTTTGGGGCCCTCCAGATGCCTGCAAAGGACTAGCAGAGCCACCGGGGGCAGTTTGGGAGCACGTGGCCATCTCAGCAGTTGAGGGATAAATCGATCAAGCCGTTCTTGTCACCAGGCTGACTGTGGTGGATGAAGGGAAGCCATTTCGTTCACAAGGGAGCTCCGGCTGCACCTGGCCAGAAGGAACCCCCGGCTGCAGCCCGGACGGTTCGATCGGCGCAAGGATGCAGAGGTGTGCCATGCAGAGGCTGCCTGGCACTTCATCGCCTCCTGCTGCCCTTGGACTTGCCAGCAGCCAAGCAGAGGCGAGTGGGAAGAGAAGAGAGAGCATGTCCGATGGGAGCAGATCAGCAGAGCAGAGCCTCTGTGGCGCAGTGCTTAGAGCGCAGTACTAAAAGCTACTTCTGCAGCCAGCTGCCTACAGTTTGGCAGTTCAAATCCCACCAGGCTCAAGGGTGACTCAGCCGTCCATCCTTCCAAGTGGGGTAAAACGAGGAGCCAGATTTTGGGGGACAAGAGGCTGACTCTGTAAAACGCTTAGAGAGGGCTGTGAAGCACTGTGAAGAAGTATAGAAGTCTACGTGATATTGCTATTGCTATTATAGCATCCACCCCGGAGCTGGTCAATTCTGTGGCAGCTTTTTACATGTGATACTAAATAAGAAAACCCATATGGCAGAACCCATATTCCCTACTTCATGGAGGGAGGGAGAGACCAAGGAGGAATACAAATTTGCCCCATTCACACATCTCTGATTGGACTGTGACTGGTACTCTTACCAATACTCCACCCAGGGAGGCTGTTTTTCCCTGGATCATAACTGTATCCATCCAAGGTGCTTCCTTGATGCCAAGAGCATTTGTCCAAAAACTCCCTTGGCTCCTGGAACCTCGCTCAACATGAGCCAACAGTGTGCAGCGGCAGCCCAAAAAGTGACTCAACCCTCCACCTACCCAACCCGGCATTTGCTGCTGCTTGGGGAAGCCCAAAGGGTTGAAAAATGCCCAGGGCAGCTCCCCGCCCCTTCCAAGACGGCCCAAACTCTACAGGTGCAAAATGCATCCGAGGCATCTCAAGTTATCACCAGCTTTTCTCTTGGATAAATTACTGGGTTTCTTTCCTTCTCAGTTTCCCAAAGAGAAAGGCAATCTGCTTTACCGATCTGCCTTCCCGCTCCTCATCTGAGCCGCTGCCTTTCTCAGCTTGGCCAAGCTGCCCTGGCCAAGGGGGTGGGGGGGGGTGTTGTTCCCATTTTGGGAAGTTTTCGTGGCTTGCTAACATAAATTACCTTCCCTAAAGTATCAGCTATCTTTGAAGCCTGGGCGCCTTCGGGGGGCGAAAAGAAAGCTTTTAAAAAAAATCTTCCTCTGGTGGTTCATCAAGTGAAGATGCCGTGAGGAAGCTGCTACTGGGTGGATCACATCTGCATTCACACACAAACAACACACACACACACACACACACACACACACACACACATTGTTTTGAAGACCTTTGTTTTCCCAATGCTTTTTACTTTGGCGAGTCTTGGAAACATGTCAGTTTTGATTCTATCAGAATGTCTTAGCAATTCTGTTTGCCCTGTTCTGTTTTTATTTATTGATGGTTTACATCCATGTAGTGAACAAGCCGTTTTTCCAAGCAGAATTTGTTCCAAGCGGAGAACAGGCTGGTTGAAAAGAGGAGTGGAAGTCCCTGTTTTTTCTCATAATTGTGTGCAAAGGCCACTGAAACTGACCAAACGAATTTCCCCTGGCCTCCTCGCATTGAAATGTAGGAGCCTGATGTCCTCCTTCCTTTGGGCTACTGTTTTTTAAAAATGATAACAGATAATCAGAGTTGGAAGGGACCTTGTAGGTCATCTAGTCCAAACCCCCCCCCCCCAAGCGGGAGATCCCAGACCATCTCTGACAGGTGGCAGTCCAGTCTCTTCTTGAAAGCCTCCAGTGATGAAGCTTCCACAACTTCCGAAGGCAACTTCTCTTCCATGGGTTGATAGTTCTCCCTGTGAGAAAGTTTCTCCTTGTTTCCAGGTTGAATCTCTCCTTGATCAGTTTCCATCCATTATTCCTTGTCTGGCCCTCAAGTGCCTTGGAGAATAGCTTGACCCCCTCTTCCCTGTGGCAGCCCCTCAAATATTGGAAGACTGCTCTCCTGTCTCCCCTGGTCCTTCTCTTCCCTTGACCAGCCAGGCCCAGTTCCTGCAACCATTCATTGTATGTTTTAGTCTCCAATCCCTGTGAAATCAAAGCAAAGAAAAGGGAAAGGAAGGGAAGCCCTGAGAAGCATTTCCAAGTTTGCTCCCTTATACAGTCATGAGTGTCCCCAACCACCAGGGCAGTGGCGGGATTCAAAAATTTTTACTACTGGTTCTGTGGGTGTGGCTTGGTGGACATGGCAGGGAAAGGATATTGCAAAATCCCCATTCCCTCCCCACCCCACTATCCTGCTTTCCAGCTCCGCTCTCCTGTGCAGGGCAACCAAAGAAGATCCAGCCGATCAGCTGGGACTTGATGGGAGGCAGAGAAGAGATGGGGGCGGGGCCAGTCAGAGGTGGGATTGGCAGGTTCTCCGATCTACTCAAAATATCTGCTACCTGTTCTCCTGAACTGGTTGGAACCGGCTGAATCCCACCTCTGCACCAGGTCAATCCAGAGGCAGAAAAAAAAGAAGGAACGGAAGCAAGGAAAGGTTCCTGAGGGATGGACTGTAAATAGGGCACCTCCTCTTTCAGAGCTGTCAAACCCTGGGAGAGGAATGACTGGTGGTGGGAGATCCTTTGTTCTCTGCAGAAGACAGAAAGGGAGGATACCAGCCCCACTGCAGGATATACCGAAATGCCCTCTGACCAGGGAGGCTCCACGTGCCACAGCCAAGTGGGAGAGGGGGCTGAGGGGAGACCCCGGAGGGAAGGAAGTTATTGGGGGGGGGTAGCCAG